TTCAGAAAACTCATCCTTGTGATTTCTTTCTCTAGAACCCCACTGTCTTAGTACTTCATATCTTAGAACAGGTTTTCTAGAGAAGAAAAACCAGCGAAACATATAAATATGTGTGCATATAAATAAGTGTAGCATAGTGGTTACGAATTGGGCTGCTAACCTCAAGGTCAGCAGTTCGAAACTACCAGCTGTTCTGTTGGAGAAAGATGAGGCTTTCTGCTCTAGTAAAGATTTACAGCCTTGGAAACCCTAAGCAGGATTACTATGAGTTGGAACTGACTCCATGGCACATAACAAACCAACTAATATATATATATATATATATATAAAGTTTATTATTAAGGAAATGGCTTACAGTTGTAGAGTTCCAGACTCTTGGTGTGGTGCTGTAGGATCAGCTCTGGACTGCAAAACACAAGGTCGGCAGTTCAAACTTGCCAGCTGCTCCTTGGAAACCCTATAGAGGGTTGCTATAAGTCAGAAGCAATTTGAAGATTCTTAACAACAACAAGGTCCCCAGCAGAAGAGAGTTCCTCCTTCCCCCTCCATTATTTTGGGAGCAGGCCACACCCCCAAGGAAGTATCCCTTTAATTGAAAGAATGGCTCATAGCCATTCTTCAGAATTAACTACGTCTGTATTAGGTTTCATCACCATGGGACTAAGCACATCCCAACTGCCAGACTTCTGGAAATCCTGGCCTAGTCAAGCTGACACAAAGCCCTAACCACTACACAGAGTTGTCCCAGAAGTAAGCTGCCTTTAGGTGCTGTAGAGTTGGCTGTGACTCACAGTGAATTGAAAGGAACACTGCCCGGAGCTGTACCATCCTTGCGATTGTTAGGTTTGAGTCCATTGCTATGTCACTGTGTCAAGCCACCTTATTGGGGATCATCCTCCTTTTTGTGGGCCCTCTACTTTACCTAGCATAATTCCTTTTCCAGGGACTTGTCCCTCCTAATAGCATGTCCAAAGTATGTGAGACCAAGTTTCGTCATCCTGGTTTCTAAGGAGCATTCTGTCTGTACTTCTTCCAAGATTTGTTTGCTCTTCTGGCAGTGTATGGTAATTCTGTCAAATTCTTTGCCAAAACTAGGATAGTCACATGTAAACTGGGACAAGTTGGTCACCCTATCAGAACATACACAAATTTAAAACCCACTGTCATCAAATTGATTCTTACTAATAGTGAGTCTATAGGAAACCCTATAGGGTTTCCAAGACTGGAACTTTTATGTAAGTAGACAACCTTATCTTTGTCCTGCAGAGAGGCTAGTGGTTTGAACTGCCAACCTTGTGATTAGAAGCCTAATGTTTAACCTACAGCACCATCAGGGTTCCTTCTTATACCATAAGTAATGTAGTAAAGGGATTTGAAAGTCTGGAAGAATTATTCATCATTCCTCTATAGTTCAACAACAGAGACAATTTAGAGAAGACATAATGTTGGGTGGGTGCACATTGATTTTTAGCAAGATGAAGTAGGAAGGGTGGTGTGGGTTAGGCAAAGTTGACAGTTCTAACCCACCAGCTGCTCCATGAGAGAAAGATGAGCCTGTCTGCTTCTGTAAAGATTTACAGTCTCAGAAACTCTACATATATAGTTGTGATGAGTTGGAATCAACTTGATGGCAGTGGGAAGTAGAAAGGGAGAAAAAAGAAAAGACAGACTTTAGCTACCCTGCTAGTATAGTGGGTGTGTAGTGGGCTACCAACCCCAAGGTCAGTGGTTCAAATCTTCCAGCTGTTCCACAAGAGAAAGATTAGGGTTTTTTGCTCCTTTAAGGATCTATAGCCTCAGAAACCTTTTACAGGGTCACTAAGAGTTGGAACTGACTAGAGGGCACACTATCGGCACCACCTCTCTGTTACTAGATGTAAGATTCCCCCATTTAACCCTTTTCCTACAGTACCACCTACCTAATTTTAACCAGTCGATCAATCATTTAATCAACACTGATTGAGCTACCTGTGTAAAGTCTGGTGCCAGGTGCGGAAGACCTTGCTATTCAAAATGTGAGCCTTGGCCAGTGGTATCTCTTCCCCTAATAGCTTGGAAAAAATACAGAGTCTCAGGTCCCACCCCATACTTTCTGAATTAAGAGTCTGCATTTTAACTCTATCCTCGGGTAATTTCTACATATAATATAGGGTTGCTATGTGTTGGTATAGCGTTAGCGACAACAGTTATAGGGAATTTAAAGAGAATCAGGCCCAGTCAAGCCTGCCAGAGGAATTACAGAATTACTGAATAAATCATGAATATCCAACAACTGACTGGATGGCGAGAAACAACAACAATAACCCAACAACAGCAACACCAACATTGTAGTTTGCCCTAATTCTTCAGGGTGTTATTTCACCCAGTTACATTCTCCTTCAAAGCTTTCATCAAGTTGTGTAAGTTTCTTTTTTCACAGAGATATTCATGGGGAAGATAATCTTGCTCCTGTATTCCTTCCCATTTTCAAGAGACAGTGTCTATTTATTTGGTGGCCTCTCTTGTGCCCTCTTGTGGGGATGTTGGACCCGAATCATCAGTGATAATGTGGGGTCACCTTGAGTTGGAATTGACTTGGTGGCAATGGGTTTGTGTCTTTCTTTCCAGCAGCTCCTCCAAATGGGAATGTGTGCCATGATATGAGTATGATTGGAGTCATCTTGCTTCTTATCCATGTCTGGAGTGAGGATAGAAGGGTTTCTGTGGTTGCTTTCCAGTGATCAGCAGGAATATACTCAAGGCAGTGGGGGTGGTGATGCCAGTCACTTCTATATCATCATGGAGACCAGCATTTAATATCTTGTTAAATCCTATTGAGTATTTTCCACCCATAGCAACTCAATGTGACAGAGTAGAAGTGCCCCTAGGGTTTTCTAGGCTGTCATCTTTATGGGAAGAAACTGCCAAGTCTGTCTCCATGGAGCCTTTGGGTGGGTTTGAACCACCAACCTTTTGGTTAGCAGTAGCATAGTTAACAGTTGCATAATCAGTGCTCCTTGAATTTAGTATATGTGGCAGCAAATCACAAAGCCACAGGGCTAAGTCTATCATTCAAAAATGAGGGAAATGAGTCCTGGTGTGGTTCTGTAGGGTAAGCATTGGACTTTTAACCAAAAGCTGGTGGTTCAAACTCACCAGTTGCTCCTTTGAAACCCTATATGGAAACATATATTTGCTATAAGTCAGAACTGACTTAATGACACTTAACAACAGCAACAGTAAGTTAAGGAACAATGGCATAAAGACCTGCTGTTATGAGGCAGAGCAATGTGAGTCCTGACTCTAAGTGCACTGCTCTTTCTACCATGATGTCCTTTCATACTTGAATTCTCATTCTCAAGAAAACAATTAGTTTTATAGAACTAGCAGGGATAATACTTAAAGATCTAGGGTAGTCTTCAAGGCAAGCAGTCAAGTCCCTTCAGGACAAATCCCCCCTCCAAGACTGAAACTCAAAAAGGGGACACATGAGCTCACTGGTGACCTCATTGGTCTGCATGTGAGTGGAAGTGAGGCAAAGTCAGTAATGAAGATCTGGGCTAAGTTTGACCATGTTCCATAGACTCCTGTCAACTGTGAGATGAGAGAGAGATGAGGAAAGGCTGGTTGGTCAGAAGTGTGGGGAGATTTGGGAACTTGAGCCCATGAACATTGACTTAGCCATGGAGGGCTAGAGCTGAGAGTGAAAAGTCCAGCTGATAAGTCCAGTGGGAGAAGATGCATAAGAACACCCAAACTTGAAGGTAGTACCCATTTGACCTACCTTCGATGGCTTGATTTCCAGAGCTCAAGTAGAGGAAGATAGGTAAATTTGATAAAAGAATCAAGTGTAAATTTCTACAATCTGATGAACTTGACTTGAATTTATGGATTTAGCTCAAAATACCAACGAAGAGGGAAGGAGTCTTCACATCAAGGATCAAGTTTATCCCTTCAGTATATAGGGTTGATAGGGATGGGCAACTTAAACAATTGGCTACCTAAAATTGTGTGTGTGTGTGTGGGTGGGTGGGTGCTATAAAGGCATGAAGTGACTGGCTTTCAAATTTTCAAGAGGAAGTTTAGTTTCAGAGTGTGTGGGGGAAGGTAGATTCCCCCACTGAATAGTTTTCATCGTGTCTAGATGGGTCTGGTGAAAGGAGATGGGGATAGAATTCTTTTGATTCAATAGTGAGTAATTGTTATCATGACTAATTGTGATTGTCACAACTGTAGATGTGAAATTGTGTAACAAAAAAGGGGGAGTAATTAATCTTACATTCTGGGAACAGAGGACCCTAGGACCATCAAGAGAAGAGCATGAGTGGAATGTGGCACCCTAATCAGAGAAGCAGCCACACCAGAGGTGGAGGCAGAATGATGGCATGGAGAGATAGAGCAGCTGAGACCTCAAGACTCATGGAAAGAGAAAGGCTGGTGGCCAGGAGGCAGACTTGCAGAATATTCCCTTTGGTTGTTAAAATGATTATCTATTCCTGAGTGTTTTTTTGTACATCAAAACAAACAAATAAGCCAACAAACCCAAAGGACAGAGGGAATAGAAGCAAATACTGTTAAATGATGATGAATGGAGGGGATTGTAATCATTGCAATGAACAAAATGCAATAGGATGAAGGCAAAACCAATATTCTCCCATGTAAACTATCACTCAATTCACAATAAAAGCTTAAAAAAAAAAAAAAAAGAAATCTAGAGTAGGAAGAGTTCACAGAAACCATCTGTTTTATTCATGGGTGTATTGTACCTCTATATTTTATTCTTAAATATATCCAGGAATGCCTTCCTTCTTTCTGCCTTCTAGCTACCATTTCTTATTTTTACATGATAGGCTATATATTGAACTTCAGTCTCTGCCTGCAGTTTGAACATTGCCTTGTAGTCTATCAAATTAAGGAAATTCATGTTTTATTAATTTGATTTATTATCTCTTGGGGGCTGCTTAATTTTTTTTTTTTGACTGTATGGCTTTGGATCCCATCTGAAAATGTTTTTGTTACAGGAGGACTCTGGGCCATCATCCGAGGTTCTGGTTTGGAAGGTGTTAGCCTGGTGTTATTCGGGTCTAGGTCTTGTGCCATTAATGTCAGCACAAGCAATTCACAAAGAATACAATGCAAAGTTCCACCCAGGGTAAGTAGAATTCTCTGGCATCTCTTTTGTGGATTGATCATCATTATTAAAACATAGCATAAAGTTTTGAGTGAATCACTTCTTGGAATAAAAATGAACTAACATGCTTTTTCATCATTAAAATATGTTTATATTGCCTGTCTTGCTAGGAAGTGGGAAACAGAGCCCTCCAATGGGGCTTGTAATTCACAGTAGTTGATTCCTTTAAAAGGAAGATAACTAGGCATTCCCAGTACACATTGTTAATGAGCATTATACCACAGAATAAATAAATGTATCTAGTACACATCCTTGGCATGGGTTTGCAAGATTTACATATATTAGGAGCTCACCTCTCTCTTAAACAAACAAGCACCTTAGTTTTCACTAGCAATCTATCTCCTGAGTGGATATGATGGTGGAGCTTGGAAACTCCCAATTGTTCCCTGTTGCTTCTTTCTTCGCTTAAAAACAAGTTCCGAGCTCTTCCTTTCCTCATCAGTTAGTGATATTTCTTGGTCTATTAAGGGATTTGATGGTGACACAATGGATTAAAGTGCTTGTATGTAGCCAAAAGGTTAACAGATTAAACCCACTAACTGCTCAGTGGGTGTAAGATGAGAGTGTCAGTTTTTGTAAAGATTTATAGCCATGGAAACAGTTCTATTCTAGGGAGTAATATGAGTGAAAATTTGAATTGAGTTCCTTTCCTGGAGCTGCTGGGAAAAGTCATCCTCACAGCTACAGTTGGATTTAACATATATAACTACACACACACACACACACACATTTATATAGGATGAGTGACATTTAGGAACTTAGATGCTAGTTCATCGAAGGGACCCTGTAAATCCTTCTTCATCTGAACATCACACAGGAAGAAAGCAAAAAGTCATTAAGATGACAGGAAAGAAGGGGAAAAAAAGAAAAAGGATGTCAGAAGAGACAAATTTTCTCTCTTCATCATAAAGATGCTAAAGCAAATGGAAGAAATGAGGAAGTAAAAGAGCTGAACAGAAAATTTCAAAGGGCAGCTTGAGAAGACAAAGTCAAATGTTATAATGAAATGTGCAAAGACCTAGAGTTAGAAAACCAAAAGGGAAGAACACACTCAACATTTCTCAAGCTGAAAGAACCGAAGAAAAAATTCAAATCTTGACTTGAAATAGTGAAGGATTCTATGGGCAAAATGGAGTCTTGCTGTGGCACTGTGGCTTAATGCTCTGGACTGCAAAGTTGGTTTGAACTGTGAGGTCGGTGGTTCAAGCTCACCAGCTGCTCCTTGGAAACCCTATACAGGGTCTCTGTGAGTTGGAACTGACTCGATGGCACACAACACCAATGTTAGTGACTAATGTGTATTAAATTATTAAATTCTAGCTAGGGCTCTGTTGTTGTTAAGTGCCATCAAGTCGATTCTAACCCATAGCGACCCTGTATAGGGTTTCCAAGGAGCACCTGGTGAGCTTGAACCACTGACCTGGCAGTTCAAACGCTTTACAGTCTGATGCATTAGCCACAGTGCCACACCAGGACTCCAGAGCTCTAGAAGACGTCCTTTTCTGGAAGGCAGGGAACTACTAAAATATCAAAATGATGATTGCTATTACCAAATAATAAAATTCACAGTTGAAAAAAAAGAAAGAGCAACATATTTTATTCTGTTTTTCATTCTGAAATTGGAAATGACAATACAATTATATTCACATTTCACAATTTAGAAATTCACCATCATTGATAGGAGATTAACCTGAAATTAACCTTTTTAACAGTTTTGAAGTAAGGATTTATTGGAGGAATGTGGCCTTGAGGAATTTTATACCTTCGGAGAACAAACTATTTCCAGCCTTAACACAAACACATTAGAAGCAGCCATTCACTTAGGAGAGTCCTGGTGTGGCACTGTGGGATAAGGACTGCACTGCTAACTGCAAAGTTTGCCATTCAAATGCACCAATTGGTCTCAGAAACCCTAACTGGGCCAGTGTTGGAACTGACTTAGTAGTACACAACAACAATATTCACTTAAGAACAATTGGCATGCTATTTGCAAATCATTATCATTTACTCATTAATTACAGCTGGCCCCTCTACATCTTTTCAGCACTTGGGTAGACCAAGCACTTGTCACTGTGCACATACTTGAAGGCAGCAAATGTAACCAACCTTTAAAAACAATTTTCCTTGAAATTAATTTTTTAAACTCATTTGATTTGGACTTCTTCTCTTTCTTCAAGTCAATTTTGTTTACTGAGGCTTGATTTTAAAAATTGATTTTCAGGGTAAAGATGAATCCATTGTGAATGTGACTGTAATCAGTGAGGACCATTCTGCAGTTCTTTGTGCAGCATTTACATACGTCTCCTCGTTAAATCCGGTCATCATGTCTCTGAGTAGGGACAGAAGCAACTTAGCAGGTAAAAGTATGTGCCCCTGCAGGATTGCTCTTATAGAGCATTGATTATATATATATATATATGTATATATATATATATACACACACACACACACACGCAATAGATAACCTGTGCATCTTATTGAAGACAGTATTACATTTTGGATGGAAAAGTTTTTTTCTGACAATCAGGAGACCATCATTAAGTCTGTCTCCTTATATGATTTTTGTTTGTAAAATTGAAACCATTTCCACTATGAACATGACATGTAAATTCACAGACAATATTTAATTAAAGCAATATTTATTAAATACCTATTTCATAGGGTTAAATATTGTGTTTCCATCTGCAAAGTTGGTGGTTCAAACACACCAGCTATTCCTCAGGAGATAAAGGAGGCTGTCTGCTCCCTTAAAGAAGTATAGTCTCAGAAACCCTGTGAAGCAATTCTTTTAAGTTCTTCTAAGACAGTGCCCTATAGGGTCACTGTGAAGTGGAACTGACTCATTGACAGTAGGCTTGGTCTGAGTTTGGTATGTGCCGATAGTAACAGCATAGACCTATTGTAGACATTAGTCCTTGTTACAAAAGTGTAGGATTATTAGCCCTGTTACACGGATGAGGACTGAAAATGGAGAGAATTAGTAACTTCCCTAAGATGCTTCCTTTAGTAAGTAGTACAACTGGGATTTGAACTCAAGCAGTCTGGTTGCAGATCCTAAGCAATTAACCACTAATAATTAATTATAAAATATTGTTTCTCCAATTTGAATTCAGCAGAGAATAAAGTGTTCTGGTTAATACAGGATTTTTCTCCTTTGACACACGTTTCTTGATGTTGTGATTCCAGGTACAGCAGAAGGAAACACTGCCTATTCCTGAGACATCCTCACAGTTGTTGCTGTGTTTGGTCCTATTGTTACTGTGGAGGGTCTTTCTCTTTTTCTCTGACCCTCTAGTTTACCAAACTTGATGTTCTTTTCCAGGAACTGCTCCTTCCTGAAAGCATGTCCAAAGTACATGAAAGGAAGCCTTACAATCTTCACTTCCACGTAGCATTCTGACTGTACTTTTTCTAAAACAGATTTGTTCATTCAATATTCAATATTCTGTGGTATATTCAATAGTCTTCAACAGCACACCATAATTTCAAGACAACAATTCTTCTTCAATCTTACTTCTCCATTGTCCAGTTTTCACATGCATAGGCAGTGAAATACCATGGCTTGGGTCAGGCACACTTTAGTCCTCAAAGTGACATCTTTGCTTTTTAACACTTTAATGAAGTCCTTTGCAGCAGAGCTGCCCAGTGCAAACGGCATTTAATTTCTTGACTGCTCTTTACATAAGTGTTGATTGTGGATCCAAGTAAGATGAAATCCTTGACAACTTCAGTATCTTCTTTGTGTATTATGGTGTTGCTTGTTGAGGTAGTTGTGAGCATTTTTGTTTTCTTTAGGATGAGGTATAATCTATATTGAAGGTGATCATCTTTGATCTTCATCAGTAAATGCTTCAAGTCCTATTTGCTTTCAGAAGCAAGGTTGTATCATCTGCATATCACTGATAGTTAATGAGTCTTACTCCAATCTTGATGTTGCATTCTTCTCATGTAGTCTAGTTTCTTCAATTACTTGTTCAGCATATAGATTGAGTAAGTATAGTGAAAGGATACAACTCTGATGCATACCTTTCCTAATGTTAAACTTTACAGTATCCCCTTGGTTTGTTTGAATGCCTGCCTTTGATCTATGTACAGGCTCTGCATGAGCACAATTAAGTGGTCTGAACAACTCAGTTAGGTAGTTCAAACCTACCAGCCACTCTGTAGGAGAAGAATCAGGCTGTCTGTTCCCACAAAGATTTATAGTTTCTATATAGAGTCACTATAAGTCTGAACTGACTTGATAGCAGTCGAGTTAGTTGACTCGACAATATTATGTAAACATAATGGATTTTTTTGGTACCAAGCTACAGAAAACAATATTTCTTTGGTAATTCCAAATGATAATGCCAAGATGGAATTAATAATAATTTGTATGTTATAGTATATAGATTTGGCAAAGTAGCAGGTAACACACCTTTGTGATTATCTGAAAGCCAGATAACAGAATTTATGGCAGCCATAGCTAATGGTTTTGTTTTAAATGACCACCATACTTCCCAAATAAAAAATCCTGGGCTCAATATTTCTGGTACTGTTTTCATTTTCCATTACTCAAGAGTTCATAAATAAAGGGAAGTATCCTTTAGCTTCTCAATATTATTCAGATCGGGTAGTGCAGAAGAAGAATTTGCTGCCTCAGGCAACCAAAGTATGTAAAATTCCTTAGTGGTCTAGATTCTTCTGAAAGAGGTAGAAAAGGGAGGAGGGAGATCCTTGTTCTATTCAGAATTCAGTGATTTTGGCTTTTAATAAAATTTTCTACCTATAATGAAAAGAAGAAATACATTGCACTAATGCCTTAAAGGCGTCTAGTATTAGATTGACAATTGACCAAGACTCCAAGAAGTTCATGTTATTGATGTATACAATGCGATGCATCATTTTCAGAGTTTACACTTGTATTTAAATCTTTCTAAGGGAGTCCTGGTGTGGTGCTGTGGGCTAATGCGTCAGACTGTGAAGTCGTTTGAACTGCAAGGTCTGCGGTTCAAGCTCACCAGCTGCTCCTCGGAAACCCTATACAGGGTCGCTATGGGTTGGAATTGACTCTACGGCATTTAACAACAACAACAAAGGGCAGAATAAAGAATACGTTATCTGACTTGTAAAAGCCACAAGGAGTGTTGGTCTACTGGAGTGCTGCACATCTCCATCAGGATATGATATTCATACTGACAATGAAGCCCAGATGCAAGTGATGGGAAGAAGAGGAGGGGAAGGAGAAAGGGGAGCAAAAATATGCTGTGCAGGGCCATATGTTGTAGGCTTTGCTGTTGAACAGGGCTGAATGTGAATGAATTTCAGCTCAAGTTCTTCTTGGGCAAGACATCAGACTTCCTTTATTTTCAGTTTCTTCATTTGTTAGGTGGGAATCATTTTTTTCAAATTTATTGTGAAAATTTCAGATTTTTTGAGTAAAAGAATTTCGCTTAGGCACTGGCATGGGGTAGTCAAACTGTTGTAGTGTCAACCCTGACTCATGGAGACCCCATGTGTGTCAAAGCAGAACTGTGCTCCACAGATGTTTTCAGTGGGTGATTTTTAGGAAGTAGATTGCTAGGCTTTTTATTCTGGGCACTGCTGGATGGACTCAAACTGTTAATCTTTTGGTTAGCAACTGAGCTCATGAACTGTGTGCATTACCCGGAGGCTCCAGCATGGAATACACATTCAATAAATGCTACCATTCTGGCAAATACTGAGGTTTCAGACTTCACAGTAGAAACAAAATGGAAAACCCATGCATGTGGAAAGAGGAATAAAATGAAATTAATTGGGGCCATTTTATATGCTTTACTACACCAAATAGTTTTCCATGACATCCAACTTAACCTTATAATGGGTAGTGTAGGGTTGTTGTTATTAAATGCTATAGCAACGCTGTATCAGGTTTCCAAGGAGCAGCTGGTGAACTTGAACCGCTGACCTTGTGGATCAAACCCACTTTACAATCCAGTGTATTAACCCACAGTACCATGCCAGGGTTCCTAGTATGGGGTAGACTTTATAAATGTTGTATTGTTGAAAAATCCCAAGACTGCAAGTTCACAGTGAATCACCTGAAGTCACACAGGTATTAAATAGTAGATCAAGGATCTGAATATAGATCCACAGTCTTCTCACTAACATTTAATTTTTCTTTTTTAAATAGCCTCTTTCTTTTCCTCATTGGCTGTAGTGTCTTTAAGACACCAGCCCTGAAAGAGTTTTCAAATATCCGTGGCTAAAAGGAGGGGCCCTAGTGATGCAGTGGTCAAGCACTCAGCTGTTAACTGAAAGGTCATTGGTTCAAAGCCACCAGTGGTTCTCCAGGAGAAAAGACCTGGTGATCCGTTCCACTAAAGTTATTGTTAAGTGTCGTAGAGTTGGTCCAACTCATAGTGATCCTGTATAGGGTTTCTGAGGAGTGGCTGATGAGTTGAACCACTGACTTTGTGTTCAAACCAACCTTACGATCCAGTGCTTATGCAACAGTGTCACACTCGGAAACCCTATGGGGCAGTTCTATTCTGTCATATACAATCTCTGTGAGTTAGAATTGGCACAAAAACACACAATAACAGCAGTGGTTGAAAGAACTTTAGAGACACACTGAGACACAGGATAGGGAAATATTCTTCCACTTCTGTTGCACACTTACCAGTCCTCATTGAGACTCCAGGTGATGGCTGACTGGATTTATTTTCTTCGCTCCAGTCTGTCTTAAAGATTGGAAATATCACTTCAGTCAGATCCTTTCCTGGCTTCTCCATGGTCCACTGAACTGAGACCCTTCAGATTTACCTTTCTTGGCCCTCACCCACTGAACCTTCATCAGTGTGTCCTGCTCTTGGCCCTGTAGAATTCCTACTTGTTTTCACGTGTCTCTTTTCTTCCAGCAAGTCACTCAAATTCCCTTTCCTTCTCTCCAAACCACTGGATGATTCATTGAGAAAATGCTACAAAAGTCTTGTGGGGTGGGGGTTGGGGGATGTTAATCTGTAAAGAATTTAAAGTTGAATTATAAGTCCCCTCTTTCACTTCCTTTTGGGAATTACCTTTCAAATTGAATTTTCAGCATCATTTTTCCTATGAGGCATTTCCTATATCCAGAATCTTATTTTGATTTGAACAGCCCACTACTTAAATTTGCATCCTTTTTATGGTATGTTCTGGTGTTGCACTGTGGGCTAATGCTCTGGACTGCACAGTCAGTTTGAACTGCAAGTCAGTGGTTCAAGCTTACTAGTTGCTCCTAGGAAACCCTATACAGGGCTGCTATGGGTTGTAACCAACTCAACAGCACTTAACAACAACCACAACGTGCTTAACTAAGGAACTCTGTGGTACAGTGGTTAAGTGATTGACTTCTAACCAAAAGGTTAGGCCCATTGTACTCATGACATTTGCATATAATGGATAATTAAGATACAAAGGAATTAACAGATAGAAGACTGGGGCCAGGCCTTGACTTTTATATTAGTTAGCTTTCAGGTCTTTGTTTACTCAAAGGATAAAAAATGCCAGTCCTACTATGTGACCCATATAAGCCATAAGGATGGAGCAAGGATACAACGGGATAATGTGGGGAAATGCTCTGAATGTGAATGATGGTACTCACAATGACATTATTATGAGGTTCAGTGCATAGTGAAGGTATTGCTTTAGACTTTTATCAGTATGAAAGAAGATGTGGAGTGTGATTTTCTGATTATGGACACTCCAAGATACTTCTTAATTTGTCTTTGTAGGAAAATCACTTACTGTCTCTTGAGTAAACTTGCCTTGACAATTTAGCTTTTGAAGTCCTTGAGATTTATAGGCTGTAGCTATGATAACATAGTTGAGTTTCATGCAAAAAAAAAGTTAGCATTAAAATTCTGAATTAGAGTATTAAGCACAGGGCTATTGTTGTTGTTAAGTGCCATCAAGTTGGTTCTGACTCATAGTGACTCTGTATAGGGTTTTTGAAGAGCAGCTGCTAAGCTTGAACTGCTGACCTTACAGTTCAAAACAACCTTGCAGTCCAGCACATTAATACACAGCTTCACACCAGGATTCCACAGGGCTAGCATGTGCTTAATCATATAAGACAGTTTTAGAACTGAATAGGTGGTTGAGGCCACAGGCCCACATGACAAAGGCTAATGGACTCTTGTGCACACAGGAGGTGAGACCCTCTTCATTGGAATGGCACGGCTGGAGAACTATACAGAGTTGGATGTGGAAGTCCTTATCAGGGACACCGGGGCTCGACTTCATGCACAGATGGCTCAGGGCCTGGAGGTGGTACTGCCCGCCCTGCCTGCTGGCCTCCACAGAATTTCAGTTTCCATCAATGGTGTCAGCATTCACTCACAAGGGTGAGGTGGACACATGCCAATTGAGGTCTATTGCATGGTCTAGTGAGTTGAAGAGTTCCAGTTACTGAGTTATATCTTTCTTCCCAACCCTCTTAAGTTAGGGGATACATTATAAGAGTCATATAATTTGAACAAATCTTAGAGACCCTGTAGGCCAGTTGACTTCCAAGATGACCCAGGGACTTACTACTTAGACAAAAGGTAACTTAATAGGGCTAAGATTTTATTGCTCTTGGATGGAGCACAGGAGGTGTGGACATGTATATAAGAAAAGAGGAAGAGGCTGTTTTCTAGACCTCTTATAAGATTATCTCATGGGTGCTGAATGAATGGCTTGTAGTGATTGCACAAGCCATTTACCCTTCCTCATATGCATCCCGCTCTGCCTTGAGGCCCTTATGCTCAGTGGTTCCCCCAAGTCCCTTCTCATTGAAAAGGTAGCTCAGCTCCCTGGGACTGCTCTCACCATGTGATACTGGTTCAGACAGGCACCGCACAGTGTCTACCCCACAATTTACTTTCTTCTCTATTAGGTGGTATCATTCACACCTCCACCCCTCTTTTTTCTTAGACCCTCCCCCAACTCCATCTCTTATCTTTTCCTTTTCTCTTTCTCTAACACTTGTGGTTATTGCATAACAGCCTCTCTCTATCTCTTTTAGGGTTGCTCTCCAAATCCAATACCTCACAGAAGTTTTCGGCATAGAACCTTGCTGTGGATCCCTTCTAGGTTAGTGGTTCTGATGTGGCTGATATCATTTATCCAGGGAGTGTGTACACAAGACATTCAGATTTTGTTCCTGGGGTAACTAACCCTTGCAGCTTGTTGACGGTGGCCAAGTCCCGAGTAGCCTTCCTTACAGTCTGCAAACTCACTGGTGGACGCTGAAGGATGTGAACACTTGCTGGTTTCTTAGCCCAGTAAGCTCAGGAAATACAAGTTTTATGAAAAAGAGATGCACCTGCTTTTCCTCTTTGTAGTGGAAAGAGGCTGAAATATCTAATGAGTAGCACATCTTGAGTGGATGGTAGAAAAACAAGGGAAGAGCTTCCTGTGTGCAGCCTTTTAGATACTGTATTTATGAGGAGAGGAGAAAGGAGTCTTGGGCATCTTCACTTTCGGGGATGCAGATGAATGGTCCAGAAACAGAGACATGAACACCAATATGGGGAATGTAAGGGCATGACGAATAGAGAAATGTCTACAAACACTGATTTTCAGAAAGAATTCAAAGTTATATATTTGCGTTCGAATAATCATTGGGCTCATATATCTTTTTGAGTCTAGTAAAGTCCTTTTGAAAAGATGTTTGACTTTGTCACAGACTTGGTTATGCTGTGGGTTAAATTAATGCTATCTCCCTTTTGAAGATGGAGCTTGATTGTGCATGGATCAGAGATCAAGACAGTCTATGAATACAGCAGGGATTTCGCAGGCATGGTTCAATGACTCTTGATATATCATATATATCATGTATATTCAGCACATTCCATAATAGATTCTAGCAGGTATTATATAGAATAACATAGCAGATGAGTATATTTCAAGAAATTTGATTTTTCATTAATGTATAAGTTGAATATATATGTAGAATGCAGGAGAAAGACAAGGTTTTCTGTTCCTATGAAGATTTCAAGCCTTGGAAACCCTATATAGTGTCTCTAAGAGTTGGAACCAACTTGACAGCACTTAACAATAACAACATACAGAATAATGGAGTTCCTATGTGGCACTGTAGGATAAACATTGGAGAGCTAACTTTAAGGTTGGCAGTTCAAAACCACCAGCTGCACCTTTGAAACCCTATACAGGGTCACTATGAGTTGGAACTGATGCAATAACACTTAACAAAAACATTCTGGATGTGCCGTTGAGTCAATTCTGACTCATAGTGATCCTGTATAGAGTTTCTGAGGAGCAGTTGGTAGGTTTGAACTGTTGACTTTGTTCGCAGTCTAGTAGTGATCTTACAGTGACACAAATTGAAGAGAAATGGGGGCTTTCAGGTAATTGAAAAATTTGTCTTGACTAATTTGGACATGTTTCCTATATAGTAATTTATATTGTTGAGCTATGTGAATTTCAGACCACCTGGCACCTGTAAATAATCACAAATTTGACATTAGTGGAGTGAGGTGGAATAATAAAGGTTTCCCTAGCCCTTACCACATCTCCTACTTACACAGATGCTGTGAGTTCCTGGGTCTGAATATAAGTTTAAAATTATGTTTTTGATATTCCTGCTTTAGGTGGAACGATGCTCAGCATTTCAGGAGTAGGGTTCAGTCAGTACCCAGCCTCGGTTTGGGTACTAGTGGGCAATCACTCATGTGACGTTGTGAACTCAACGGAGGCAGACATCTGGTGTGAGACTTCACCGGCCCCACTGCTGCCTGATGCAGATGTGCTCACCATCCCAGCTCCAGTGCAGGTCTGGATCGGCAATGTGACCTCTCCCCACAGACCATCACCAGACTCTGTAGACAAGGGCTTCACCTTCATGTATGAAGCAGCAACAACACCTGTGGTCACTGCCCTGAGAACAGAAATCCTAAGCAGCAGCCTGCAGATCTATGTGGAAGGAAGTAACATTTCCAACTCGGTGATTCTTCTGGGGAGCTTGCGCTGTGAGCTAGAGGCACCATCTTTCAGGAGCAACATGAGCCTGTCTGGGTGCTCCTTTCCTCTTCACAGTTTGGAGGCGGGTGTCTATCCTCTCCAAGTCCGTCAGAAGCAGATGGGCTTTGCTAATATGTCTACGGTACCACAGCAAATTGTGGTAGCACCTCAGATAACAGCCATCTTTCCAACACAAGGTTCTGCTTGTGGTGGGACAGTTCTCACTGTGAGGGGCTTGGCTCTCAGCTCTAGAAGAGGGTCAGTTCAAGTTGATTTCTCAGGACCCTTTACATGCACCATCTTGAGCTTGAGTGACCAGAAAATCATCTGTCAGGTTAACCTTGTGGGTGACCCCTTGCCTGGAGCTTTCTTCACCTTGAATGTTACAGTCCGAGTCAAGGGTCTAGCCAGCAAGTGTCAGGGCAACTGCACACTCTTTATGCAGGAAGACACAACTCCCACCGTGGACACTTTGACCCCTCACATCAGCGGGTCTCTGACCATTGTGCAGATTAAGGGGCAGCGGTTTGGCACCACAGCCAATGAGTTGATGGTGTTTGTGGATGATCATATTCCCTGTGGTGTGACTTTCTTTAATGCAAGTCAGGTGGCATGCCTGGTTAGTGACCTGACCCCAGGGCAGCACTACCTGTCAGTGTTGCATAAGAGAAATGGGTATGCTTGTTTGAGAAATATTTCCAGACACTTCTACATTTTTCCTCAAGTGTTTCATTATTTCCCTAAGACTTTCAGTTTACATGGTGGGAGCCTCTTGACCCTGGAGGGCACCGCCCTAAGAGGACAGAATACCACATCAGTCTACATTGGCCAACAGGCCTGCCTCTCGGTGAACATCAGCGCTGAACTCATCCAGTGCATTGTCCCTGCAGGCAATGGTTCTGTTGCCTTGGAAATAGAGGCAGATGGACATCTGTACTACATGGGAGTCATTGCTTACAGCAAGGCCTTCACCCCAGAACTGCTCTCTATTTCTCAGATTGGTGGTATCTTAACCCTTGTGGTAGCACAGATCACAGAAGCTGGACATGTTGACATCTTTATTGGGACGTCACCCTGTGTGGGTGTCTCTGGGAACCACACTGTTCTCCAGTGCAGTGGCCCCTCCCTTCCTGCAGGGGAGTACCAAGTCAGAGGTTACGACCACACCAGAGGATGGGCTTCCTCTGCCCTGGTATACACATCGAGAGCTACTGTGTCTGCAGTGACAGATAACTTTGGTAAGTGTCTTAGTGTCTTTAATGCTGCATAACTAAAGTACCACAAGTAGATGGCTTTATGGAACAGAAATTTATTTTCTCTCAGTTCTAAAGGCTAGGAATTCATCTGAATTCAGAGGGCCCCAGGGCTATGCTTTCTATCCTCCTAGGGAAGGATTCTTCGTGTCTTCTTTCAGCTTCTTGGCATTCCCTGGCCTGTAGACAGATCTTCACATGCCGTTTTCCCCCTGTGTGTGCCTTTGTTTCCCTGTCTCTTGTTCTATCTTTTTTTTTTTTTTTCCAGGTTTTTATTGTGGATTGAGTGAAAGTTTACAGGGCATATCATCAGTTTTACATTCAACAAATCATACACCTGTTTCATTACAATGATTATAATCCCTTCTATGTACCATCAATCACTTTAGCCCTTTTTCTTTTTTTAAACACTCAGGCATATAAACTAATTTACACCACCAAAGGGCACACATTCTGCAAGTCTGCTTCCTGGCCACCATCTCTTAGTCCCTCTCTTCCCATGAATCTAGAGTCCTCAGCTGCTCCCTCTCTCATGTCCCCATCTCTGCCTCCATCTCTGGTGTCGCTGCTTCTCTGAATAAGGTGTCACATTCCGCTTGTGCTCTTCTCCCTTGATGGTCCTAGGGTCCTTTGTTTCTGGACTGTAAGATTAACCACTCCCCTGTTTTTGTTACAATACTTCTACCTTTATAATTTTGACAGTTGCAATTATTCATGATAACAATTACTCACACTATTGAATCATAAGAATCTTATCCCAATCTCTTTTCAACCAGACTCATCTAGACAAGATAAAAACTATTCAATGAGGACTCTTTCTTTCCCACACATACTCTTAGACTAAACTCCCCCTTAGAACCTTGTAAGCCAGTCACTTCAAGCTTTATCACACACTCATTTTAGGTAGCCAGTGTCTAAGTTGACCATCCCTATCTACCCTGTGTACAGAGGGGATAGCATTGATACTTGATGTGAAGACTCCTTCCTTCTATGTTGATATTTAGAATTACTACCTCCATGAGTATAGGTCAGGTTCATGCAATTGTAGCAATTTACCCTTGTTTCTCTTATCAAAAATTATTTTGTTCTTTCTTTCTTTATTTTTTAATCTTCCTCTAGTTGAGTTCTGATTATGAAGTCATCAAAGCTAGGTCAAATGGGTACTATCTGCAAGTTTGGGTGTTCTTGTGCATCTCCCCTTACTTCATATCAGCTGGATGCTTCACTCTCAGCTCTAGCCCTCTGTGGCTATGTCCTTGTCCACAGGTTCAGGTGTTCCCAGGTCTCACCACACTTTGGACCAATCAGCCCTTCCTCTTCTCTTTCTCATCTTCAGGTAAACAGGAGTCTATCGAATGTGGTTGAACTCAGCTCATTTCTTCATTGCTGCCTTTCCCCTTCTTCCACTCACCAGTAGACCAATGTGGTCACCAGCAAGCTTGCATGCCTGCTCATGTGTTCCCTTGGAGCTTCATTCTAAAGGAGGGTTTGTCCTGAAGGAACGTGATTGCTTGCCTTGATGGCTTCCCGGTGAATAACTTGCTTATTCTTGTAGTAGCCAGTCATACTGCCATTTTTGTTTGGATTTTTCCTGATGATCTGTTTTTATATTTGAAGATTTATCTTCTGTCACTCTAGTTGTTCCAGGCTGGTCTGCTTCTCCTTGCTAGTGGGAATGTCCCACTTCAGAAGATTCTAGATGGGGCTCAGGATTCCACCTAAGGCCCTATACACTGCAAAGGCTCCGCTGGAGGCCTATTTCACTGGGCAAGTTCTAGAACCCCTTTTAGGTATTCCAATCAGTTATAGTCTGAAGATGGGTTTACAAGCTTTCTGAAATTATGTTTCCCGACATTCCTTTCTATCCAACTCAAGTTTCCATTTTACAATAGTAGGCAAGGGAAACCAATATACACAAGACAGTCAAGCATCTTAGTATTATTTCCCCTCTTCAAACTATGCCTAGATCCCTGTATCAAAGAACCCTGCTGTTCCAAGGCTGAGCATGCATTACTCTATATCTTTGTCCCACTTAGCCCATGCAAACCTGTCTCAGTGTTCCCCTATCTACCTTGTTCTTCCACCCCTCCCCCTTCTTCTGTAATGCCTCCCCAACAGCTGAACTATGATGTGTCTGTTCTTACCCTGTGCTCTATCGTCACCTCCCTCCACCTCCCCCAAACTCCCTGGCTCCAACACCACCAGTAACCAACAAAAAAAAAATTTTTTTTTCCATTTTAGTATGGATATCTTTCCTTAAGGTTTTACAATAATGGTCTTATGCAATATTTGTCCTTTTGTGACTAATTTCACTAAGCATAAAGTCCTTATGGTTCATCCATGTTACTCAGTGGATTGCAGCTTCCTTGTTAGTCTTCAAGGTAGCATAATATTCCATTGTGTGTATGTAGCAAAGTTTGTTTATCCATTCTTCCATTGATGGGCACTTAGACTATATCCATCTTTTTTCTATTGTGAATAGTGCTGCTGTGAACATTGGTGTGCATGTATCTGCTCATGTTATGGCTTGTATTTCTTGTGGATATATACCATGTAGAGGAATTGCTGGATCATATGATATTTCTATTTCCAACTTTCTGAGGAAGCGCCATACTGTTTTCCAGAGTGGTTGGACTATTTTGTATTCCCTCCAGCAATGTAGGAGAGTCCCAGTCTCTCCACATTTATTATCCTCTGCATTTTTGAACTTCGCTTTTATTATTGGTGTGAGATGATATCTCATTGTTGTTTTGATTTGCATCTCTCTAATGACTAATGATCGTGAGCATTTCTTCATATGTTTGCTGGCTGCCCAAATGTCTTCTTTTTTGAAGTGTCTGTTCATGTCCTGTGCCCATTTTTAAATTGGTTTACTTGTCTTTTTCTTGTAGAGGTATTGTAGTTTCCTATAGATTTTAGAAATTATGTCTAAATATGTCTGATATGTCATTGCAAAATATTTTTTCCCATTCTGTGGGCTCCTTTTTCATTGTTTTGGTGAAGTCTTTTGATGCACATAGTTTCCAATTTTTAGAACTTCCCAATCATCTATTTTGTCTTCTTTTGTTTGTGTAATTTTCGCAATGTATCATAGTCGATGTGTTCCCAGGATTAGAGACCTTAAATTTGTCCCTGATTTTTCATTGATGGCCTTTATAATTCTAGGCTTCACATTTAGGTCTTTAATCTATGCTGAGTTGGTTCATGTTCTCTTTTTTAAGACACCAATTATATAGTCTTAGGCCCCACCGTTCTATGGTATGATGTCATCTTCAAAGGAAAACACTATTTCCCCAAACAAGGTCACATTCACAGATATAGGGGTTAGGACTTGAATGTCTTTTTGGGTTCACAATTCATAACGAAAGTTAAGCAGAGAAGACAGACTGATTTCTTTATGTAAATGGATTGAAAGTAACTTTGACTTTGCTGCTGTGCCGTGGAGTCGGTTCTGACCCATAGCAATCCTGTTTAGGGTTTTTGAAGCTGTAAATCTTTACCGGAGCAGAAAGCCTCATCTTTCTCTTGCGAATGGCTGGTGGAATCAAATTGATGACCTTGCAGTTAGCAGCCCACTTCGCTACCCTGGCTCCTTACTTTCACATCTGAGAGGTAGGAAATCAACATTTTTATGAGACACAAATTATATAGTCTTAGGAGCCACCCTAGTCAGCTATGATGTCATCTTCAAAGGAAAACACTATTTCTCCAAACAAGACCACATTCACAACTACAGGGGTTAGGACTTCAATGTCATCTCTCATTAGAATGAGAGAACACAGCTCGTCTCTTACCATCCTGCATTCTTTTCCTTTTCATGAGACTTTCTTTTTCATGTGTCACCAATAAGGTTTTGATTTTTTTTTTTAACAAAGGAAATTGTGTATATTCTCTTATTCTCTAAGTGTTTAATAATGTTTTAATTTGATGCATTGTTGTTGTTTTGTTGTGAAGTGCCGTTGAGTCAGTTCCGATCCATAGCAACCCTGTATAGGGTTTCCAAGGAGCAGCTGGAGAGCTTGAACCACCAACCTTGAAGTTCAAATGGCTTTGCAGTCTGGCACATTAACCCACAGCACATTAGTCTGGTTTAATTGGCTTTAACTTAAATAAGATCATGTAAAAGTTCATATATATAAATTATATAAATGCTTTCTCTATTTTTAGATAAAAAAGACAATTTACATTATTTTAAACTTATGAATCCTGGTGTGGTTTTGTGGGTTAACTGACTCAACAGCACTTAACAACAACAATCCTATGAAATACAATAAATTTTTTATCAGTTTATAATATTTCACAGATGAACTCATACGTTATCAATAATAAGCCTATGGTGTCGTGTCATTGCATTTGTTGAACTTTACCCCCCTTTTAGAAATACTTACATTTTCTTTGTCTTTATTCTTTCAATCATAGCTTTGGTTTCTATTCACTTAAAGCCTTATGCTTAGAATACTTCAAATCTGAATATGACATAGAAAACATAGAGGGAATTATAGACGCAGAATCTTACACTGATGAGGTATTAGCCAAGCCATTTCCTAGAAGGTATTCCTCTAGTCTCAGTTGGATGGAATTTGGATAAGTGGGATTTGGGTCTTGCATCTGTCACTCACTTAGTTGGGCAAGTTTGACCATACTGCCAGCATTAAGCCTCAGATTCCTTATTTGATAAATGATGTTGGACCAGAAGTTTCCTAAAGTGCTTTTTTCTATTCTTTAAGGGCCATGATTTATGGCATAGAGTAGAGGTTTGAAATGCACTTATACACCAAAAAGGTTACTTCTGAGTTTGTTAGGTGATATACAAGTACCATGTAGATTTGATGAGAAGGCAATAGACACCTGGAACTCTCTGCCTTAGTTGTAGACTAGAAGGTTCCATCTGTCTGGGAATCCTGGTGAATATGGATCTCAAACAATATTGCCCTTCAATGGTTCTCAGATGAAGCAAAACATTCCACATGCTTCAGTCCTGTTGAGGATTGACATGCTTTTATCCATCAGTGACAAGTGCCCACATACAGTGTAAACTGGAGCAACATTGTTTTGCAGACATTTACAGTAGCACTGTAGGGTAAGCTCTGGATTGCTAACTGTTCAAACCCACCAGCTGCTCTTTGGAAATCCTACACAGGGTAGTTATCAGTTTGAACCGACATGATGGCATTTAACTCACTCAACACACATACATACACACACACCAGAATTATAAGTTCACTTTTCCTTTGAGCAATTCTACTTTTACAAATTTGTAACAAACTATTACAAAATACATACAGATTATGTTCCTAAAATATGTACAGTTCTTGCAAAACTTAATTTTCACAAAAAAATTTTAAAAAAAGAATAATTGAATAAGAAGGAGTCCAGGTGTGGTGCTGTAGGCTAAGCACTGGACTGCTGATCATAAGGTTGGAAGTTAAAATCCACCAGCTGCTCCTTTGAAACCTAAACAGCAGGAGTTGTTTCTGTTAAGTGCCATTGAGTTGATTCTGACCCATAGCTACCCTGTATATGGTTTCCAAGGAGCAGCTGGTGAGCTTGAACCACTGACCTTGCAGCAAACAGCAGGGGTAAGGAAACTTTTTTCTGCCAAGTGCCATTTAGATATTTATAACATCATTTGCAACAACAATAACAAACAACATTATAGGAAAATTGCTAAGTAAATTGTGTCATAATCATGTAATGGAATTCTAAGTAGTTAAAAAATGATGAACTAGATCTAGATGTATAGATATGAAAAAATGTTTAAAATGTACATTTAAATAAAATACATACATTGTAGAATATATATAGGATGATCTTGTTGTATAAAAATATTCTTCCTTAGGAAATTCTAGAAGAATTCACAAGACACTATAAATGGCTAACTGTGAGGACTGAGGTAGGCGGTTGGAGGAACTTTTACTTTAACTTTATATTCTTTTGTGTAATAAAACTTCAAAAGTATACATATTATATTTATATATAAAATATGGTACATTAAAAATACCCTATTCACATAATTTTTTTGTTAAAAATGATTTGCTCTGACAGAACAAACTCCAGATCCTGGAGGCTAGAGCTTTGGTAGAGATGAAACGGGGACTACCAGAGACCTAAAGCCAGTTGTGTGGATTCTAGAGGACATAGAGAGAAGGATGAGCTATAAGAAAGCAAAGGGTTTAATTTTGAGTTCAATAAAGTGAGTTTTGCCAGTGTGGTCATAAACTTATAGTTTTATCTTTAAAGGCTGCCTCGGAGGAAGGCTTGTGCATGTGTTTGGAGCAGGATTTTCTCCAGGGAACATCTCAGCTACGGTGTGTGGTGTTCCCTGCCAAGTCTTGGATAATGCTACCGTGACTGCCTTCAGCTGTTTGGTTCTGCCACTGGACGGTCAGTAAAAATGTAGTTTTTATTTAAAAAAAAAATCATGTATATGAATTTTTTTGTGTATGTATCTATATATGATTTTTTTTATTAGTTCCATTTTTGTAATTTTTTCTAAGTGTGTACTAACCACTGATTTTCTCAGAGTTCCCGGGAACAGAATTTCTCGAACCCCATCAAAAATGGTAGAGTATAGGGCCACCTATTAAAATGGCTCTTTAATAACTTTTGGGAGTTCCGTGGCTCTGTAGGATAAGCATTGGACTATGAACCACAAGGTTTGAATCCACCAGCCACTTCACAGGAGAAAGATGAGTCTTTGTTCTCCCACAAAGATTTATAGCCTGGGAAACCCTACACAGGGTCATTATGAGTTGGAACCAACTGGATGGCACTTAACAACAACAATATTAACTTTTTGTCATAATAGTGGGTCCAAGTTAAACGAACAACTGAAAATTTATCATCAGTGATTTTGGCTGCAGTCGTATGACAGAGAAAACAATTCTGCATTCTGAATATGAGTTTCAGTGACAGCCATAGGCATCAGGGAGGGAACAACCTCTTAGCCTTGTTCAGAGGTCAGGCTGCTGAAGACATCTGCTTATTGGAGATACTAATAAAGTGGTGGAAACAATTAAGGTGGAATCTCTGGAATGTTGGCTCTGTGTGCTCAATGTTTTGAATTCTTACAGGCAAAAGAATCAATGTAAGTGCCCAGGTAATGACCTGGTGAGTAGAATGCCATGATCACTTGTTATTTTAAGCCCATGTACCATCACAGTGATTGTGGAAGATGATTTTTGTGGGATGGAGGGAGGATAGAGAGGAAGGTACAAAGCAGTGATATCTCTATGTTGGGTATCAAGACATATAGTACTTTCTCATTCAGCCAAAAAAAAAAAAAAAATCAAAGGGAAGAGATAACCATTATTATTATATTGTTGTTATTATTAAGTGCTGTCGAGTTAGTTCTGACCCATAGCGACCCTGTATAGGGTTTCTGAAGAGCAGCTGGTAAGAACTGGTTGAACATTGAAGTTCAAACCGACTCTGCAGTCCAGAGCATTAGCCTATAGCACTATACCAGAACTCCATAAGTGATTACTATATATTATTATTACAGTGGTGGTGGTGTGCCTTGGAGTCGGTTTGGATTCATAGTGACTGTGCATAGGGTTTCCGAGGCTATAAATCTTTATAGGAGTAGAAAGCCTCCTCTTTCTCCCATGGAACAGCTGACAGTTTCGAACTGCTGACCTTGAGGTTAGCTGCACAACTCATAACCACTACGCTACCAGAGCTCCTATTATTATTACTATAGGACCAGCTTATTATCTTGTTTATTATTATTACTATAGGACCAGGTGATTATCTTGTGTGCATAATCATAGGTCTTGTAAGGGTGCACTTAAAAATGTTTACTACATGTGCTTACTGTGTAGTGCTTTATATTATATCCCTAATCTGTTTGTTGGAAATGTGAGCATAGTCTGAGGATTTACAAAGCGATACAAATTTCATTTCATTTGAGCTTGTACAATAAATCCATGAAGGCTAATACTAGCATGATGGCAGTTTACACAGTATTTTCTTAGACAAGTAGAAAAAATAATCTGTTTTAAATACGAAGGATTTCAAAAGTTTGGGTACAAATGGGATTAAAAGATAATTGAATTTTCCACAAACTGCTTGAGTCCCCATCGTACTAGAAATTAAGTTTCCTATTATCATCATGTATCTATGGAAAGGAGATTGATTCTACGTAAGATTCCACAAGAGAAAACCTAAGACCATAAAGATGTAAGTTTAAGTTGTCTGCTTCATTCAAAGTTAAGTGTGCAGTTATTAGCAGAAGAGTTGGTGATCTGTTTCTAAAATATCACAACCTTGAAGTCTCAGTGGAGTGCATTTCTATGCTGTATGTATGGGGTTGCCGTGAGTCAGAACTAACTAGACGGAAACTTGTAACTGTTTCCCTCACCACACTACCCAGTAGGCATACAACAGTGCTGGCACAGGGCAGGTACAGAATTAGTGCTTGATACAAAAATAAATTGAGGAATAGCTAACGGTAGAAATAGTAAATGAAGGCTCTACATTTCTTATTCTTAGTCCTGATGTGGTGCTGTGGGTTAAAGCACTGGACCACAAGGTCAGCTTGAACTACAAGGTCAGAGATTCAAACTTACCAGCCACTCCTTGGAAACCCTATTTAGGATTGCTATGATTTGAAACTGACTTGACCCACCAACCACTCCTTGGAAATCCTATACAGGGTTGTTATGATTGGGAATGGACTCAACAACACTTAATGCTTAGCTAAGATTGTTATACTCTGATTTTATGTTAAGCTTTGTAAATTAAAAATTTTAATTTAATAGGCTTTTTAAAGTCCCCTGGTATTATTTCTAAAGGATGGAGCATGGTGGATCTGTAGGATAAGCACTGGACTGAGAACTACAAGGTTGGTGGGAGAAAGATGAGGCTTTTGCTGCTGTAAAAATTGACAGCCTTAGAAACCCTGTACAGCATCGTTAGGAATTGGAGCTGACTTGTCAGCACTTGACAAGCACTCGGCTGCTAATGGAAAGGTCTGAGGTTCAAACCCACCAGCTACTCCTCAGGAGAAAGATGTGGTAGTCTGCTTCCATAAAGGTTTACAGCTGTGGTAACGACGTGAGGCAGTTATAGCCTATCAACTCATAGGTCACTATGAGTTGAGTTCCACTTGATGGCAATAGGTTAGTATTATTTCCTGACAATTAATTTCAACTACAAGTACAAAATAAAAATCGGTGATGTTTCAGGTTCACATAAATTGTGGCATTGGGTGTTTGGTCACTTTGGGGAAAGAATACAAAAAGGATATGGACACAGCATCTAAGGGAAAGGAAAGTAAAAAGCTCAGTATCAGGTCCAAACTGATTCCTATGGTATGGCACAGTAGGGCAAGCATCAGATTGCAATGTTAGTTTGAACTTCAAAGTCAGTGGTTCAAATCTACCAGCTGTTCCTTGGAAACCCTATACAGGGTTGCTATGAGTCAGAAGCAACTTGATGGCGCTAAATAACAACAACAACTTGGGGCTGAGGTTAGATGGGCCTCTAGCCTTTTACCTTCTTTACCAAATCCGACACCAACCATCCCTCCCACAGCACTTTCCACTCAGCTGGGTTTTTGGGTTTAATAATTCATTGCAGTAGTCACACAGAACTTAGACACCATACTCATTTATGGGGTTTATTAGGAAAGTTAATAGGTTACAGTGCAGGATTAGAAATGCTTGGGGCAGAGTTCTTTCAGTCAGGACAGTCTCTCAGCCCTGGGCCCTTGGCCTCTGCCTTGCTGGAGCAATGTTAAAAGCTCTTTCAGCACTATTGCTAAGTGTTCAAAGGGCACTCCACTTAGTTATAAGCCTCAGCCTGAAGGTGCTCAGCTTTAGTTCTGAGTCAGCAAACCTAGCTCTCCAATAAATTGCCCAAAGTACAGCTCCTGCTCAAAGGCACTCGGCTTCACTTGCTCCATCTGGTGCTCTGGCTCTTGGTTCCGCAGCTGCTACTTTTCTGCTACTCCTCTAATGTCACAGCTTTCTGTTCCTGGGTCAAGGAGGTTCAGCTTACAGGGGTCTCTGGGACCAAAGGCCACACTCCACTCCTGGTTCGTTCTTCTTAGGTGGTAATGAGATCCTCTGTTGCTTCTGAGATGGCTAATTTATACTCAGCATGATAGCAACACTGACCAATCTCTTCATTAACTTTCCAAGTTTTTACGATCACAATTAGCCTTGTTAACGGTTATTCACAATTGAATGATAGGCTATCAGCCTCTTCTTCCCCATTCTCTTACTCAGGACCATCAAGAAAAAAATGCTGTTTTGTGAGAGTTACAAAGATGAAAGAGCCATATGAAGTAATTCACTGCACTACATTGTATTTTTAAAGATTTGATTAAGTTTTAGAAAATAATTTTTCAAAGTCCCTTAACATGGAGGGAGAGGATCTGTGTGCTGATGGCTGGGTGGGTGCAGGGGCAGGTTTGCGTGGTTACCATTTGGTTGTTTGAATGGTTATATATTCTTGAGTGCTTAGGTGTACATCCCAAACAAACAAAAAACGGAGGGAATGGAAGCAAATGCTGTTGAATGATGATGCATTGAGAGGTTTGTAATCATTGCAATGAAACGAAGTACAATAGGCTGAATGTAAAGCTGATGTTCTCCCATGTAAACTATCACTCAATTCACATACACACACATAAAAGCATTATGTTAAGCAAAATAAGGCAAACACAAAATACTATTGTATCATTTTACTTTAATGAAATTCAAGAATATGCAAAACTAATAATAAATGATGATTGGAAAAAAAAAAAAAAAAAATCCCTTGACATTTTAAGAAGAAAATGAGTTGGAAGCTGTAACTTTTAACATTACCAGTAGGTGTCACCGAACACTCATTGATTGGGCAACAGAAACTCACTGGAGGGAAACATAATTTTGAATTATTTTCCACTTTTATAAAAAAAAAAAAAAAATCTGTCTTTTTAAAGACTTTTAATCACAGTATCTAAAATTGGAGAGGAACTAGGCATGCCAACTGCAGATTTTCCTTAGTTAAGATCCAGGATGGCATTTGGGCATCCTGTCAACCATGTGAAACATGTAAGACATTCTGAGTGTATGATTGTGCATTTGTCTCCAGGACACAAGCTCATAATGTACATCAAATAATCAATGGGGTGAGCCTCTGAAATGATTTGACACTACTAATAATTTCTCCACTTCTAGAGAGGACCTCATTTAAACTACATATGTTCTATTTTAAAGTTGTTTCAATGGACAATTCCATAGTAGCAGCAACCCTTACACAAGTTTAGCGAATACCAATTTGAGAAATCCATCTTCTCCCTAACTGCTGCTACCCCACTGTAGCGAAGGCTAATGAAGCCCCTGGCAGCTCTTTAGAAAGCTGAATCATCTCATTGCCTCTAAGGCTACATCACCATTCTCTGGGAATTCTTTAGAAATGTAGCGTAGTGGTTACAAGTCAGGCTGCTAACCTCAAAGTCAACAGTTCAAAATTTACCAGTCGTTCTGTGGGAGAAAGGTGAGGCCTTCTGCGCCCGTAAAGATTTACAGCCTTGGAAACCCTATACAGGGTCACTATAAGTCGGAACTGACTCCACAGCACACCCCCACCACTGAATCAGAAGCTGTCTCACCAGAAAACATTTCGTAATTCTCTTTTAGGCCCTTTTTGAGTCCCTGCTGTCTTCTTTTCCCTCCCAATTTGCATCCCTAACTAGGTAGCTTCTCTGTATAAGCAAGTTCTAGTCATATTCTATTGGAGGAGTCCTAGTATGGTACTGCGGGTTAGTGCACTGGACTGGCACGGTCAGTTTGAACAGCAAGGTTGGAGGTTCAAGCTCACCAGCTACTCCCTGGAAACCCTATACAGAGTCACTATCAGTCAGAACCAGACTCTACAGCACTTAACAACAACAGTCATATTGGGCAATATCATATAATCTGGTGCCATATTGTTTTACAATACTGTTTTACTGGTTTATACTTTTTGTTACCTTCTATTATCCTGGTGTGGTGTTGCAGCATAATGCGCTGGACCACAAGGTCAGTTTGAACCTCAGTGTCGGCTGTTCAAATCGACCAGCTGCTCCTTGGAAACCCTATACAGGGTCGCCATGGGTGGGAACCAACTTGGTGGCACTTAACGACAACAACAATTATCCCAAGTAGAACTGGTGTGCCACTACAGGATAAACACTGGACTGCAAGGTCAGTCTGAAACACAAGGTCGGTGGTTCAAACTCACCAGCTACTTCCCAGAAACCTTATATAGGGTCACTATGAGTTGGAACTAACTCAATGGCATTTAACAACATTATCCAAGGTGTGAGTGTGCGTATGTGTTATCCTAATAGTGCTATCTATGCACAGCTAGATTTCCCTCATTTTATAATTACATAATTTCTGTTTTTTGCTGTGGTTTACTACCTTTGTATTTTCATTTAGTCTTTTTGTTTTTATGTTAACTTCTCTAACTTACAGAAGGTCATTTTAATTCTGACCCTCAGTTTGCATTTTATTCCTCAGTTTAACTTTGTATATACTAAAGGGAGTAAGATTTTTACATTCTAGGTTGTAGATCGTGGTCTTGAATGAACATTTCTAAAATTTTTGTTTTATTTGTTCCTCTGTCATAACACTCATGTTTTCATGAGTGGGACAGCTTTAGGTAAAGTTTTAAAGAAATTCTTTTTCTATTTTTGCTATTTTTTTTAAATCTACTTTCCCCCCAATTTTACTTCTAACCTTGTGTTTAATATGTTGTTGTTGTTAAGTGCCGTCGAGTCGGTTTTGACCCATGGCAACCCAATATTGAGTTTCCGAGGAGCGGCGGTGAGCTTGAACTGCCAACCTTGCAGTTCGAACCAGCTTTTCAGTACGGCGCATTAATCCGCAGCACAACACCAGGACTCCAGTGTTTAATAATTGTTGTTGTTGTTGTTAAGTGCTGTCGAGTCGGTTCCGACCCATAGCGACCCTGTACAGGGTTTCCGAGGGTGTAAATCTTTACGGGAGTAGAAAGCCTCATCTTTCTCCCGTGGAGCGGCTGGTAGTTTCGAACCGCTGACCTTAAGGTTCGCAGCCCGATTCGTAACCACTACGCCACCAGAGCTCCTTGTTTAATAATTAGGGTTGCTAAATAATCCTATTGGGTGAAAGCAATATTTCATATTTGTTTAAATACCATAAAAGTTTTTTTTTATCTTAAAATTTCTTGCATTATGTGAATTGCACTACATAACTGTTTTTCATAGATTCTTTAACTTTCCCGTAAGTCATGAAAAGCTAACTTGATTAAGGTCACACAACTATTTAGTCGCAGAACGTTGAGTAAAACCCAAGGATTCTGATCCCTGCCCTGGGCACTTCTCGTAATCCACCTTGTCAATTTGCATTCACCTAATTACCTGTATCGAGTATGAATTTAGGGGTTTTGAGCCTGTTTTTTATTTGCTGTATGTCTTACTAGCTGGAAACTTCTCATGAAACTCCTCATATTTCGTTTATCTATGTTAGAGTCCTGCTAGCAATGATTTTTATCGCTAAAATTCATTTGAAATACTTTCACAGAAAACCTAGACTTAGGAGTCAGGTGCTTTGGGATGCAGCATTAACAATAATACTGTTTGTGTGTTATTGAATAACCACAAACTCTCCCACATGTACTGTCTGATTTTCACCTTGCTTATAGCCCTGTGATATAGGTAGTGCAGCTAGTTTCATTGTTGATAACATGGGTTACTTACCAGTGTGGACAAATTAGCTGGAGAAGAAGCAGACTAGTGAGATTTTTTTCTTCTGTCTCTTTTTACTTTATTAAGGTTTTCAAAGAGAAGTGTGTCTAGATCATTTTTTGCTGAGTGTTGTCTTCCTATTAAAGGTTACAGTCAGTCTGGCTTGGTGATGCTTTTTTTTTTTTTTTTAATTTATCACATAATTTTGCTAGCTTTGGCTTGGTGATGCTTTTTACACTGTCCCGTGATGCCCTGGTGGCATAGTGGGTTATGTGTTGTGCTATTAACCACAGGGTTGGTAGTTCAAGCCCACAAGTTACCCCGTGGGAGAAACTTGAGGCTTTCTGTTCCTGTAAAGATTTATAGCCTTGGAAACCCTATACAGGGTCGCTATGAGTTGGAACCAACTCAATGGCACATAACAACCGCATGACCCAGAAAGAAAGGCCCTGAGTGTCACATGACTTCATATAATTGCTCTTTTTCTTCATAAAATGATAACAATCATAATTATATTAAATCAAGAACTGCTGTTAACCAAGAGATCTCATAAGAAGAGTAAAAAAGTTTAGCCAGAAATTTGGAGAAGCTGTTGCTATTGTTGTTAATTGCTGTCAGGTGGGTTCCCACTCATAGGGAATCTGTATAGGGTTTCTGAGGGGTGACTGAGGGTTTGAACTACTGATCTTGTGTTTAGCAGTCCAGTGCTTATCCTACAGCGCTATGCCAGGAGTCCTCATAAAAGTAGAAAAATGAATTATAATAAACAAACAGAATGAAGGGACACTGAATAATTTGAAATCAGGAAAGATGTGCACCAGGGTTGTGTCCTTTCACCATACTTATTCAGTCTGTATGCTGAGCAAGTAATTTGAGAAGCTGAATTATATGAAAAAAAAGTGGCATCAGGATTGGAGGAAGACTCATTAACAACCTGCAATATGCAGACGATACAACCTTGCTTGCTGAAAGTAAAGAGAACTTAAAATACTGATGAAGATCAAAGACCACAGCCTTTGGTATGGGTTACATGTTAATGTTAAAGAAACCAAAAATCCTCACCACTGGACCAATAAACAACATCACGACAAATGGAGAAAAGCTTGAAGTTGTCAAAGACTTTGTTTTGCTTTGCATCCACCATAAACACTCCTGGAAGCAGCAGTCAAGAAATAAAAGTATGAGTATAAACTCTTGTGATAAAACTATTTAAAGAATGGATGCAGGTAATTGCTTTTGGGCATGAGGAGGAAAGAGATGGAATTGGGGAGGAGCACAAAGATTTCAGGAGTCCTGGTGTAGCACTGGATTGAAAGGTTGGTTTGAAATGCAATCCACCAGCTGGTTCTTGGAAGCCCTATATAGGGGCACGATGAGTAGGCGGCAACTTGATGACACTAAATGACAACAAACACAGATTTAAGAGCATTGAAAGGCTGTTAGATCTTATGTTGGCTTATGGATTCAGATGAGTTTATCTCATCATTAAAAAACAAGAAAAACAAAAATTCTGACTCACAGTGACCCCAGGTGTGCAGAGAAGAACTACTCTAAAGGGTTTTCAACACTGAGACCTTCTGGACACAGATCATCAGGCCTTTTCTGGGTTGGAACCACCAACTTATAATAATTTTTAGTTAAAAAAAAATGGCTGTCATTTTCTTCTGTATCCATTGCCTATCGCTGTCTCATTGATTCTTACTCATAGTAATCTCATGTACCAGAGTAGAACTGGTCTACAGGGTTTCTCAGGCTGTAATATTGAGGAAAGCAGGCTACCTGGTCTTTCTCCTAAAGAGTCACTGGGTGGGTTTGAACCTCCAACTTTATGGTTAGCAACTGAGCACTTATCCACTATGGCACCATGGTTTTAAATATATCTCTCTCTATATTTAAAGTTAATTAACTACATTTTCCAATGGCCAAGGAAGAGCACATGGCCTTCAATTCTTTGGGTGGTTATTACCTAGCCTAACCATGACCCTTTCTTGCAGTGTCCTTGGCTTTCCTGTGTGGTCTGAAGCCTCAGGAGAACTGTGAAACCTCTAGCCACACCTACGTGCAGTGCGATTTGACTGTTGCTGTGGGGACACAGAGACTGCCCAAATCATGGCCTTACCTCTACATTTGTGAAGACAGTTCTCATAGCCTCTTTAAGCGAGATCACTGGACTGAGCCACACTCGCCATCATTCTCAGGCCTCTTCATCAGGTATCCCTATCCTTTCTATGTTCTTGACCTTCCCATGGTTTTGTAGCCTGTGGACCCATGGAGTCACTGGGGATGGTAGGGTGAGTGGACTTTGCCCTGGGCCCTACAACTCTCCTTGGAGAGGCCATTCCATTGTGAATTCTAGCCAGCTACATATCAAAGCATCTCCTGTCTTTTTCAAGTGTTCAAGAGAACATCTGAAAAATTTGCCCAGTAAACAACTCGCTTTGTTCTTGCTTAGATTTTAATATTTATCTTCTAATCCAAAACAACATCTGGTGAATGCCAATGGGGAAAAAGATTAGACATTATGAAAAACAGAAGGATTTTTTTTCCCCTTTCCTTTTTCTTTTTTTTTTCAAACAGAGTCACAAGTAGGAAAAAAATAAAGTCACAGAAAAATCCAGCAGATTGTACAATGTTTATTCAAAAGAAGTGGGATGCACAGGCAAAATTACTGTAGATTTAGGATTTGGAATCTATAACCTTATAAGGAGTTTTAAAAGCTAAAAATAAATAAATAAATGACAACTTCCTGGGTGAAACGCTTTTCCCAAAATAAATTAAAAACAACAACAGTGTGTCTATGCTGGTAACTCTGGACGGTCTTCATTTTCAGCAGTAGTCCTTTTCCTATGCAGTGTGATATCTCAATGCTGAACATTGCCCTGTACCCTTTTTCTTATCTAGCAGGAGTGGTTGCATCTAATTATTTAATGAAAGCCCATTTTTCCATTTTAAAAACCAACAACCCAAAACTGAGCAAGACCAGTTGCACAAATGAAAGATAACCAGTCTTTATCACACACAGCAGTCTGACTTGATGAACTAAGACAGTCGATGTTTTAATGTGAGTTTACCATCAGTGGTGTGTGTTTAACCAGAGGTGCAGAGGAACCTCCCAGGTTGGTTGCTTTCTAGAATGGCATGAAGGACCCTGTTTAGGTCACATAAGAAGTAGAGTGCTGGAGTTCGGACACATTTGAGTTGGATTTCAGAACTCACTATTGTTGGACCCTGAGAAGCACATGCTAGCATTCCTAGCTACATTGAATTAGGATTTCATCTAGATTCCTAGAGCTATTCTTTGGAGTTCTTCCATGCCCTTCTTTTCCATTCTTAGAGTTGACTGAGACAACTTAATGGAAGACCCATTAAAATCTATCCCCTTATCTATTACTAGCCTTTAAAAAGTGTTGCCCAACATTCTGGCTGTGGCATCAGGCAAAAGTGGGTGTGATTTTTTAGAGTAAAAATAAGTGCCTAGTGATTTGAAAGGGGTCCTGTGTAGTACTCTAGGATAAACTCTGAACTGTTAACTTCCAGGTTGGTAGTTCAAACATATCAGGTGTTCCTCGAAAACCCTACACATGGTAGATGTGAGTCTGTTACAACTCAATAGCACTTTATCGTCATCATCAACAACAGTGATTTGGAAACAAACTGACACTTAGTGATTATTAGGGATGAGAAAGTAAGTTAGCCCAAACTTTAGAGGACAATTATGCAATATGCACTAATAAGCCTCTTAATTTTTTATACTCTGTGACCCAGAAATCTCACTTTAGTATTTTATTTTAAGGAAGCAGTTAAACCAAAACCAAACCCAGTGTCTTTAAGTCAATTTCAATGACCCTGTATGACAGAGTGGTGCTGTGGGTTAATGCGCCAGATTACAAAGCCATTTAAACTGCAAGGTCGGTGGTTCACGCTCACCAGCTGCTCCTTAGAAACCCTATACAAGGTCGTTATGGGTCAAAATCGACTTGACAGCACTTAACAATAACAACAACAACATAGGACAGAGTAGAACTGTTCCCTCTGGTTTCCAAGATTATACATCATTACAGAAGCAGACAGCGTCATCTCTTTCCCCCGGAGTGGCTGGTGGGTTCAAATCGCCGACCTTTTGGTTGCAGCCCAATGCTTATGTCATTGCACTAGCAGGAAACCATTAGAAATGGGAAGCACTCCTGACAGTCATGCCTATTGGTGTTTTAGGTATAACCAAAGAAACAATTTGAAATGAAGTGTTTAGTAATAATTCATTCATATGATAGAAAATAAGGTACCATTAAAAATCGTGATGCAGAATATTTAACCAAACAAGGAAATGATGATAATATATTGAAAAATGAAAAGCACAGGTTACAAAACAGCATGTCAATTTATTCCTAATATTATATATAGTATATATGTTAATACACAAAAATAATGTTGTTGTTGTTATTAAGTGCCATCAAGTTGCTTCTGACTCCAACATATTTACTACAAATTAGACTAAAAACCAAAAACTTAAGAAGAAAATTACTATGATCAGCCACAGTGCACATGCATAATAGATGCTTAGAATAAAGACTGAAAGGGTGTGTTCTAAAATGTTGATAGTGCCTATCCCTAGGTAGCTGATGTATTGATCATATTTATTTTCTTCTTAAGTTTTTGTTTTAAATCTATTTTGCAGTAAACATGTTGTAATAATCAGAAAACCCATTATAAATTATACACAAATTATTTAGAAAATCATGTACCAAATAGCTTACCTTGGTTTCTCTGTAAGTTGTGTTTGTGAACTCAGAGAACTGCTTTCCAGAACCTCTGCTGGGAACCCACTTGGATTTAACACTTTATCTCCTGTTCCTTGCTACCATTATGCATTTGGTGTCTTTTGGCAAAGGCATGCATATCTGTGGCAAGTATATGCACTATCCATCCATCTACCCATCTACCCATCTACCCACCCATCCATCCATCCATCCATCCATCCATCCATCCATCCATCCATCCATCCATCCATCCATCCATCCATTCATCCATCCACCTTGTAGATATTATCAAGTGTCTACTCTGTTTCTAGGCTTTGTGTCAACTGTTGGTGACTCAGTGTTGACTACTATGAGAAAGTCACTGCCCTTAAGGAGTCTATAGGGTTTAGGGGAACCCAGACAGTATATAAAACCATCCTGAGTTATAGTAAGTACCATAAAGTGCTAGCAAGTAACAGGGCACAACTTTAGACAGTATATACAGAGTAAGTGTCTCTGAAGACATATCTCCAGAAAAGAAAGAGAAGGTGCCGGCTGTGCAGTCAGGCAGTGAGGGCACAGATGCAAAGGACTCAGTATATTTGATGAACTGTGAATAGGCCAGTAGGGCTGGAGTGTAGTAGAAGGTAGGACATGAGGTCCTAGAAGAGCGTGGGGGGAGGTATGGATGGCCTCAAAGGTCACAGTGAAGAGCTTGGATTCTAGGCCAAGGGCAGAATAAGGGATTTTTCTCAAAGTCACACACTCAAGCCATGGCAATGTTGGGACTGGAACTCACAGGTCTAACTCACAGTGTACTTAGCACTCCTATCATTATCGGGGTTGACACTGTTACAGTTGAGAGCCTTGGCTGAGCTTTCTGGGGGAAGTGAGATTTCAGAGTTAGAGGCAGCAATTTTTAGGTAAAGTGAGGAGACAGAATGCCTTCTGTCTCCTGAGAGTAAAGAAACCCACCCTAGAAAGTACACCCATGAAGATGAATGTACTCATCATGGGCTGATCAGACAGTAGACTGGGAGTTAGGAAGTCTGTTGTTACTAAGTGCCATCAAGTTGCTTCTGACTCACAGCAATGTTGTATAGCATTTCTGAGGAGAGGCTGGTGATTAGCAGTCCAGTGTTTATCCTCCAGTGCCTAGGTTCTAATAACTGTTTTTCAGCATTTAGACCCAAAATTTTACTTTTGATCCCTTTCCCTTCCAGATATATGTTGTCGTTAAGTGCTGATGAGTTGGTTTCGACTCATAGCGGCCCTGTATAGGGTTTCCAAGGCTTTAAATCTTCGTGGGAACAGAAAGCCTCATCTTTCTCTTGCAGAGTAACTGGCAGGCTCGAACCATGGACCTTGTGGTTTGCAGTCCAGTGTTTATCATATGGAGCCACTGTGTTTCTATATATACAAGGGAGCTTCAAAAGTTTGTGGAAAAATGGAATGCAAAGATAATTAGAATTTTCCCACAATTTTTTAGAAGATTCTATATATATGCACATACATGTTGCTTTATTTTTATTTTAATTTTTAAAAACTTTTTATTGCACACATCCACATTTATATTAATCTAATATTGTTGGTTTTGTCATTGTTAAGTGCCATCTCAGTGACCGGATGTAGGCATTTTGAGTCCATAAATCTTTATGGGAACAGAAAGCTTCATTTTTTTCTTGAGAAATGACTAATGGGCTCAAACCACTGACCTTATAGTTAGCAGTTCAGTGCTTATCCTATGAAGCCACAGTACTCCCTTTAAGCCAATGGTACTACTTATATCAGATGGTAGCAAGGTCAAGTGGTCTGAGGTGCTGGATTAAGGCTCCAGTCTCTTCGGGGTGTGGGTTTGAATCCCACCGCTGCCAAGGTTTTTCTGCCACACTTTAAGTTTAGGAGTCCTAGTGTGGTGCTGTGGGATAATGCTTTATGAGTAGGAACTGACTCGATGGCACTTAACAATGGTAAGAACAACACTACTTATATTACAGGATTTTGAAGGAAAATGGAATATAGTAGCTATTAAGAAAGTTTGATTTTTTTAAAGTTAGTATAATTTTGATATCCATGTGCTTACTTATTTTGTTGTTGTTAAGTGCTGCTGAGTCAGGTTTGACTCATAGGGTTTCCAAGGAGCTGCTGGTGAGTTTGAACCACTGACTTTGTGGTTCAATCCAACCTTACAGTCTAGTGCTTTATCTCACTGCGCCACACCAGGGCTTGCTTATTTTAGTGAGGGCTTATTTTTATTTAAAACTTTAGTGAGGTAGTAGTGATTGTGTGCCTTCAAGTCAGTTCTATTTCATGGCCATCCTGTATAGGGTTTCTGAGGCTATGAATCTTTATGGGAGCAGAAAGCCTCATCTTCTCCAGTGGAGTGACTGGTAGATGGAACTGCTGATCTTGCAGTTAGCGGCCCAATGTGTAACTAAGCATACTAAATGGGTTTCTTTTTAGTGAAGTAATCAG